TTTTTTTTTTTTTTTTTTTTTTTTTTTTTTTTTTTTAAAAAAAATACCAAGGTACTTTGATTTGTAAAAAGTTTCAGTTGTTACAAGAGATCCCTCATCTGGATTTTTTTCTCTCAGTTTCATTGCAGAAATATGCTTAGAACTCACTCATCTCATGTTGATACAAATTTCAATCTCTGGTGAAACCAGAAGCAGCACCTTTCAACAACTTAATTCATGCATTGTCGTAAAATCTTATTTCTCTTTTGCAATGGCTGCTTCTCGAATCCACAGATGCTACAAAAACAGATAAGGCAAGTTGCAATTTGCCTCACCTGATTTCGTCTTGCTCATGGGGTTAGAAAGCATCGATGTAATGGGCCAGTGAGGATATTAATGCACATGCTATTTTATGCTTTAGTAAACTCATGAATTTTCATTTCTCCTTTACTTACATTTCCCAAGTTCTTAATGATGAAACTGGTTTGTCTGTTTCTTTTTCCCCCCTCTTTAGAATTTCTACCTAATAAATCCTTATCTGGTTGGCTTTATTTCCACTGTCCTTGGATGCAGATTGCTGTATCGACTCATTTGGTTTTTCACTTCAAAAATATGCCCAACTTTCATGAAGAACACAGTTCAGAAGTGTATACGGTAAGCTCTATTAATGAAGTGATAATTCAGATGAGTATCCAGTTTCTGAAATAGGGATGCCAGGAAACTGTGATTACTTTCAAGGGTCAAAAATTAAAGGATTAACTGCATTGGGCAGGATATTGCAAGGAGTTTTAGGTATATGATGTTATAATGTTAGAAATGAAATGATTAAATGCAAAATCGCTTTACACTTTTTTTTACCCACCTTAATATGTTGTAATATCTTTGGCAAACTTTAAAGACCTACTCAGTATGTGTGATCTATTTTGAAGGGAGGGATTTTGAAATATTGCTGTGTTTATAGTCTATCTAACACACTCACATGCTGAAGTGCACCTTGTTCAAGTTTTCGACCAAAAAAGTAATGAGATATTACCACATAGCTCACTCTTGAAGATGAACGTCTTCAGTAAATGTAAAACCATTTTCATAAAAATTATTTACAGAGGTTTTCATTCCATAATATGTTATACCAAAAACATTTTGCAGGTAAGAAAAATGCTTATGAAATTTTTTTTGGAAAATTTATGGGAAAAAAATGTCTTGGAAATGACATGGCAGTATCACTGCTGTGCCAAGAAAGAAAACTGTATGAGCCTTCAGCCATTTTCAAATTTTCTTCAGTAAAATTTGAAATTGCTTGAAAACGTATGGATATTTTTCACAAAATTTCAATCGCAGTTAAATCTACAATATCTGAACATTTCAAGGAAAAATATTCTGATCTTTCCTCAAAAATTAACATTTTATTTAAGAGAACTAGGCAACTTCATGCTCACACTGTGTTTTTCCGTAGCAAAGCAGAACTGAAGGTGATATGAAAAGTCAAATCAGGACCTAAAGTATTTTCTACATATTTTGCATACCATGTCTATTGATCCATTATTTTGAGCGGACCAGGCTTTGCTTTCTGTTTGAGCATTGATTTTAATTCTCCACATTTTCTAATACCATTCATAAATATTCAAGTAGTTTTAACCAGTTTGAATTTATGAAACATTTTCTTTTGGGTTCTTTATGAGATCATCTTATCCGTGAACTCAACAAGACCCTAAATTTATCACCCTTTTCTCAATTTTTCCAGAGTTTTACTATTGATCGCTACAATGTCAGTTTTGTTATACTGCACTTATCAAATCATGCAGAGTCATCCAATTGTTAGCATTTTTTATTTATGTTACCCGTAAGTACTGCTCTTTTTTTTCCTATTTTGTGTTTAGTTTTATAACTTATGTTGTTTGCCAGGTGTCTCACATGTGTATTTTGTTGAATGAATAATTTTAGAGAGTTTATAAGTATCACGGAATCAGGATTGATTCCAGGAAAGTCCAAAGTACTCGCTCCGATACTCAATTTTTCCTGCCGGAACCATTGTAAAGGCGGCTGAATTCTAATTGCCCTAGGACAGCAAAAAATCAAATCTGGGTATGTGAAAGGGCTTGCGGCTCATTAATTTGCGAATTTAGCTCACGTGCTGATGAGCAAACGGTGGAATGAATACTATACCTATTTCTGTGAGAAATAACTGTGAGCAAACAAGCTTTTTGCCCTTTATCTTAAAACTTCTTGAACGTCTGACTGAAGCTGAAGATTTGAGGGCGTCTAAATTTTCCTTGTACAAAGAAAATTTAATTATGGAAAGTTTTCTGAGAGGGACCTTGCCAACGTCTTGAAATACAGTAATGACACTACGTATGAAACAAAACAATCAAATGTTTTGCCCGCTCTTAGCTCTGTTAGTATAATGAGTGTAGAAAATGTACCATCTATGAGTGTAATTGTAAATTTAATTCTCTTTCTTTCTTTTTCTACCCTCAGGATATCAGTGTATTTTATTTTGTTTGGAGTGACAGTCCAACCTCTTTTTGATATCATTCCTCACCCAACCGTCAGTTGCGATGAAGAGTGGCCCCCACCAGGTAAGCCGTTTTAAAGGGTTGAAGATTTTCTTTCAGATTGTGATAACATATCGTAAAGAAGTTTCTGGCTGATAAAACCTTCTAAAGGACCCCGCTCACTCCGTATGGGAATGTGTACCTTGATCGATTTCCAATTTTTTTATTGCATTGAAATCGGCTTTTGATGCTGATCAAAAGTCATCATTGCGCCAACTCTCTACGAGGCTCTGTTTTCAAAATATTTCCTACAATCCACTGTGGAAGTGTCAATAATTACTTGAATAAGTAAGGTCAGCGCGGCGATATCTATCTTTCAGCACTTGCTAAAAACGAGAAAAACCTAGGAGTCTTATCTCGAATTCTGCAAGCCTTTTTGTTTCACCTTCCAAATCAGATTCTTTCTCTCTCCGTCTCTTTTCCTTGCCTATCACCGGTTTGGGCTTTCCTTCTTAAGGTGATTTGTCAAGCTCAAGTGACGTGGCCGAACTGGCATGCGGCATGTCACATCGATTCGGTCAAAAATCTCTGCAGATTTTGAATTTTTAGCCAAGTAGATGTCTGTATTGAATGCAAGGTTTTTTTCCTAAGACTACTCTGCTTTCATTTCTCTGAATTTTGCCATTTTCTAGAATTAGAATTATTCTTTAGGCTCATGGGCAGGGACTATTGTCCTTTATTTCGCTTATAATTAAAAATCTGCTGAGATTTTACATCAAATCGATGCGATATACCGCATGTCAGTTCGACCCCGTCACTTGAGCTTGACTAATCACCTTAAATCATCGAACTGACCTCACTTATTCAAGTAATTATTAAAACTTCCATACCGAGGATTGTGTGAATTACTGCAAAAACATTGCCTTGTAGAAAGTTGCTGCAATGATGACTTGATCAGCATCCAAAGACGATTTCAATGCAATAAAGTAATTGGACATCGATCCTGGCCCACATTCCCATAAGGAGCGTGCGTGGTCCTTTTAATAATAAATATGATAAAACTGAAAAAAACGAAACAGAAAGCATATATCTTGGTTGTCATAATTATACACTTTTGCAATACTTCATTTTTGTGAAGGCTAACCTTTAAGAAATGTTAGACGCAATTATATAACCTTTTAATATTGATCTTAATATTCTGAATCATATCCTCTTTCTCTTTTCAGAAGGGAAAACTATGCACATTTGTTCCACCTCACCTCAAGTGATTCGTGATGAGGTTGAATATTTTAAAACAGATTTCAATAATCGAATGAAGCAAGTTCTTTTTAGTTCAGTGATGAATGCCTACTATGCAGGATTTGTCCCTTGCTGCTTTGTTCAGGTATGAGCGCCCACATGCTTTTATCATCATCATTGTCATTAGAGCCCATGCCGAGTGAGTTTATGCATCTCTATAGTGTTGCAAAAGATCAGCTGTTTTTAGTGTTGCATAAAAATTTTTTTATTCTCTATGATACTATTTTCTTTGAATATATCTTGGTTTCAAGGAGCCTCCATATTTTGAATCAACGTTTTTCATCATAGGTTTTAAACTTCCTCCTCGTTGTCCTTTATGGCTTGAATTTTCACACTAGAATTTTGTTCTTCCATAGTAGTATTGACTTTTAAATTTGGACTTGAAAGAAGGTAACACATTTTTTTAAAATGTACAAGTCATGAAACCCTTTTTGTTCTCTCTTGGCCCTCAACTTTTAAAATCAAAGTATGTTAACAAAGTATCAGCTTTTTAAAATCTTGAAGCAACAGCAGCTATTGGCAACTTCAAAAAACCTCATTTTTTCCTTGTGTTTTGCCCCTTATCTTTGTATTATATGTTTCTTTCTTGTTTTATTTGAGGCATCGTATGATTACAGAACTTCCTGTATTACGATGTAAACTGGGCTACGCAGCACCTAACATTCACTTGGCTCAGCTGTTTTATCATGTACTTCATTCACCTTTACCCCATCAGATATTATGACACGCTACACAGAGCAGCCCTCCATTTGGGAAAGTGGACCAAGGTAGAAAGCCGCATGTGTCACATTCCCTCTCACACTTGGACGGACTCCACTCTTTGGCCTCAAGGTGCTCTGGTTCGACACTCGAAAGAGCTCTTCAAAGCGGAAGGCATCACTAACGCCGCTGAGCCTGGCAATATAAGCCATACAAGATTTTTTGTAAGTATCGCTCACAGCTTTGCCTGTGTGCTTTCATGCACTGAGATCCTCCTAGTATACCTTTCAACTTAATACTAATCGAAACTCCACTTCGGTTTTAAGAACTTCTAGAGTCTGGGGCTATAGGGACACTTATGTATTGTGAAAAATCAGAATTGCACAAATTGTTCAAAGATTTTTCTATCAAACCTGTCAAAAACTGACCAGAGAACAAGGTTTTCCTGAATAAAAACGGTACTTTACGATTTAGTTATTTTAAGAATAACTTATTCATTTCCCATACTGGTTGTTGATCTAAATATAAATAGAAATCTGTGTGTCAGGTCTTTCTACCTACTTACATCAAGAAACCTTAATTATCGCATCTCTATTTCTGTCAACATTAATTCATTTCATGAAACCTAAAATTTATAAGAAAATTCATTAATTTTTTTTTTTTTTTTTTTTTTTGCCTCTAGCTTCTCTTCAACGATCCAACAACACTGCTTTATACGCAAGTTGCCCTGCAATTTTGTATTGTCATGCTTCAAGTTGGTATCCTTCTGCAGGCCTCTGAATGGTATCATATTCTGTCTCTTATGACTCTTCTCTTCATCAACTACTACCCTCTCTTTCGACTTGGAAGAGATTTCCTTGTCTCATGGAAAATGTACCGAGCTGAAGCAGCAATCCAAGCTAAGGCTAACAGTTAATAGTATGTTTCGACTTTTCTGGCTGGTTCATTCTGGGAAGTTTTTCATTCCCTTTTTCACTAACTGTTGTTAAAATATGAAAGTGTCATATTTTGCAAATCAGCTCACTTTTTTGTAACACATCATCACATGTAATGGCATGGATGCATGTACCAACTTTTCACATTTGAACTTGCTCAGGTCAAGTCAACTCAATTTTCCTCTAATTTTTTTTATCATATGAAGTGTAGGTACCTTATTCAACAGTTGTGTCCATGTGTGTAGTGGTAGTGCATATCAGGGGCTTGAGGAGGCTCCAACCCCTCATTTTTTGCCGGAATCTCAAGCGTTAGGCTTTTGGAGGGTTTTCCAGACCATAACAAGCAAAAACAAGAAGAAGATCATCACCCTAAAACTACCCCCACTTTGGGACCCATGCGCCACCCTACTTGTGTGATCTTGACATTGGTGTAAAATTTTTAACAGAAACTGAAATTATCTCTATGATCTGGCTCCTAGTTTAATCCAATAACTCATATCAAATAGCGGAGTCAATGATCGATCATATGGGGCCTTTTTTGATGAAAATGAGAAGAGAACTCATCAATCCTTACTCACCCTTGCATCACTCGGTATTAAATTTATTTCATGTTCAATGGTTAAATTTTCAGTTTTGACTCTGCCCGAGCGTAAATCTCTAGCACAATTAGTTCCGTCAGCCTTTGACTGCACACTTATGTTCATGCAAAAGCTGTGTATGTAATGTGTACAGACATTTATGTCATATGAGTAGATGTACTCATTAGATTTCAAAACATACCTCTCACCAGTTCAGTCAGAGTGTTAGAACTTATTTCCCCAATAGGATCTGATACTTCCCATCATGGACTAGCCACTTTATTGACTTGTTAATTTGTTCTTTTGATTTCATGTGTTAAGTTGTATGAGTTAATTTTTTGTTTGCAATCCTATCATCGTTTTATTTTTTTTTTTTTAATTTTCTATTTTCCAAAAGAGGAAAAGAGGTTGGAGACACTTATCAAGTGAACTCATGATGGTGCTACCCAAAAGCTCTGCAATGGCAGACAAACTAACAGAAGCGAAGTACGCATTTTAAAGTTAAACATGACCAGCAGCCTGATTGTTGAAATTTTGTGCTTGTCGGGACGACATAGGAGACATAGGTTAAAAGGCAAAGCGTCATTGGTTGGCTATGTCTCATCGCTGCTTTGTCGTGCCTTTGTCAGGTTGAACTCACGACAAGCTAACGGCACCTCTTAAGTTTCCGACAGTATGTCGTCCATTCCACCTGACAAAGGTATGACATAGCCGACCAATCACACTCCGCCTTTTAACCTATGTCATCTATGTCGTCCCGACAAACGAAAAATTTCAACAATCAGGCAGCAGGCTCGATTAAGTCACAGAGGCTGCCTCTCACAGCAGAAAATTTTGAGGCAACATAATAGAATTGCGTTTTTCATTCGTTTTTACCCTTTGATGTATCTAAGATTATTTGTTCATTTCCCTCTAATGGAAGCTTTAACAGATGTTCTTTTTGATCATATTTATTTTCACACCTACTTTTTTTTAGCATGAATATGTCCAAATAGAATCCTCTTTCCTCAATTTTCCTCAGACGTTTAAGATTTTTATTTTCTGTGATATTATTGTCTGTAAGTTTCAATTCCAGATTTCATGTTAGTAGCAAGAGGTGCTAACTTGCTCCAATTAGATCTTAAGTTAATATTTAAGGTATAATATTTAGTCAGTTGTTAATATTCCTCCCCCAGTTTAGCATCTCGCCATACACAGTTGAATTTCAGAGACTATGACTGCCGATATGAGGGAATCTACTACTCTTAATTATCTCTCAATAAATTGCGATCTCCATAGGTGTACCAAACATGCACAAGGTAGCAAGCAAGGATCTTAGATGAGGTTAGTTTTTCTTTTGCTTGTGGTGGTCTTGCCGGTTCAAACAGGCCGTCACAGCTCTAGATGACTGTTACTCCCATATGAGATTAATCGGTCGATGATGGACCAAAAATAACCTAAAGTTAAAAGAATCTATAAGGGTGAGTGAATTTGAGCAAAAATCAACCTAGAATACTTTGTTTAAGCAATTTTATTCAGTTCCCGTCCTATATTTGAATTTCAAACTTGTCCTGATTTCGCTGCCAATCAGAGAGTTTGCATGAATTTGCATCATTTTTTTTCTTCTAGCGCTCCGTCTTTATGTCTTGGATTTGTACGCAAGATGGTAAACGTAAACGTAACAATGACACTCAAACACTTCTACAGTTGCTCACAGTGCATGCGGGTGGCGAGTTATAGTGTATAATGCAAATGTTTAATGCAGCCTACTCAAGTCTCACTGTTGTGTTTCAGTAGGTTAGTAGTTTAGTGCATACGTAATGTGTTATTTTAATCTCTTTCAATACAGAACATCATGTCCTCAAGTCAGAGTCTCAGATATTTTGACTGTGTATGGAAAGGCATCAGAAACTGGTTTCTCATTATAGTGATAAGAAAGAATAGTAGAATCTCTCACATCAGCAGTCATAGTCTCAGATATTTGACTGTGTACGGCAAGATGCTGAACTGGGGGAGAAATATTAACTACTTTTATTGATTGCTTTATTGTATGGCTGACAAAATTCAATTTTTGTGTCATCAACTGTTTTTTCTGTAAAAGGGGAACTGAGGAATAAAAGAAGAATCTTTTAGAAGACTATAAAATCGTTCGAAGTCATTGTAAGAAGACTGCCAATAAACAAATGTTCCTAAAAATTCCTCTAAATCTCAAGTTTGTATCTTTAAGTGCTTCAAAATGACATAACTGCAATTCCTCATGTTTTTATTTAAATGTGTTTTAAGTGTTTTCTAAACTAAGTAGACCAAAATTTACCATATCTGTCATTATGTGCCATAATAATGACTTCCACTCTCGAGCAGTAAGGAATTCTTGTTTGTCGGATTTCAACCCGTTAGAAATTTTCTAATAGAATCTATTAAAATTTGTGTTTCCTCTTTGTCAAATTTTCAAATCGATCCATATTTGTTGAAAACTGAATTTTTTTTCCACCACAACCCTCCGAGTTAGGAACCCTAAATGATGAGCAGCGCCTTCTCACTATATTTTCACCCTTTTCATCTTTGGAAATTGTTTTCATTCTTTTTTCACTCTTTTATTTCGACTGAAATAACCATTACTGTTTTGTAAAATACTGAAAACGTCAGTTCAACACTATTTTCTCCTTTTAACTCAATCATTCTAGCTGAACCAGCAGCCTTCACCCTTAATATATCATGGTTGTTGTTTGTTCACACCTCTTCGTGGTGTGCTGAGGGTTTACCAACCCTATTTAACATTTTTCCGATCAAATTATGCATAAACTTAATATCTAATTTCAAAGATAGATTGTTATGCAATAATGAGCAAGAAGGTTGATGTTCAGGGATTGATTGCATGATAGTAAAGTTTAAGGAAAAATTGGAGATTTTTGATATTCAATTTATTAATTTTATTCATAATTAAGGTTGTAACAATAAATAGTTGAGAAATTTAACTCCAAGGAAGGAGAAGGTGTACAGATAAAAATAGCACAGTAATACAGCCTAAGGCTCTTGAATTACCATAACAACTGTATAACGTAATAAATATATTATTCAACATTGATTTCATGAATAACGAAGTATGTTAAAAAAAGAAAAAGGGTGAGACTACATGTATGTACAGATATGCAATTTATACATTACAGCAAAAATAAATTAATTTTGCTACTGACACAAGATAAAACTTCAAGAACTGAACTATTTTGCACATTAAAGAGGCAGACTACTGATTCAAAGTCAAATGATTTTACTTAAAAAGGTCCTTTAGAATAAAATGTGAAGCAAACATTAACTTGGCTTTCACAAAAGGTTAATCACCGAAGTTGTCCTAAAGTTCTTTCATCTAGCAATTGCTATAAAAAACAGTGAAGCTCTATATTATCTACCGACCTTGCAGAGATGTCAATACCGTCAAAATTTCATCACTAATTTGTTAATTATCACGGATTCACAACTTATCTGAAAATTTAGTAGAGTGACTTCTAAATACTTGAGGGGGAAAAAATGTGTGTACACTCAACCAGTGTTCAGGATATTGTCGCCAGTGAAATGCATTGATGATGGGAGGGCTCATGTAGAATCCTCATTTTAGAAGTTTCATCAATGATCCATGTAGTTAACTCTGTTGTGAACAAAAACTAATATATGGTAATATTTCAGGACTACACAATGTACTGAGCACCTGTCTCTCATTGTTAATTATTTTAATGCAGCCGACTAAGAAAAGGCGAAGATGTTCTTGCTTGCCTTATTTTATTAGTGGTGCGGAATTAATAATACAGTAGTAGAGAAAAATAATTAGATTTAAATTTCCGATGAATGAATAGAGAAAAAAATCTCCAAAGAAAATTTAAGACTTTTCTAAGAAGCAAATGATTTCAATGTGAGAGAAGATGAAGGTACAAATTAAACTCGGACTATAAACTTAGATATCCTCCTCTCTTGAATTGCGCAAACAATAAAATCCAAGCTATCTTTTGGCAATTCTGGATGCCAATGCATCACTGATCATCAGGAAGCGATCATTAACTTAGTTTGGAATGTTTTTCAATAGCGAGCTTGATCTCATGGATCATTTGGACAAATTTTGAGCTCAACTTCATTCAGAGATCTTCGTCACAGGGTGCCTAACGAAATGTTCTTTTACTTCTTGACTCCTCAGGTTTTTCCTAATCCTTGAATCTTCTGTCTCCCTGACTCTCCATTATTCTTTCTTGCATTTTCCTCCAAAATAAACACACAAATAAACTTAGCTCAGCACAAGTTTCAAGTATGGATTAGTACGGGACTCAATATTCAAAAACAAATTCACTAATGAGGGGGAAAGGCTGAGGAGCTGTGTATCGGAGCACCGTGAAGTTATGCAAAAATTCATGATCTTGCCCAGGAGTTTGAAACCCTCCCTGATCAACTTCAACTCTAGGACTTTCCAAATTTGTCCTCTTGCTAGACACCCTGTATCAGAAAAAGACTAATATTTTATTGCCTACGTCTTAATTTTTTTTTTTTTCCTTCCAAAATGAGATATCGTATAAATGTACGATCACATAGTAATAAAATTATTACAGATAATTATATTAAATTAAAAAAATAAAAATTTCCAATGCAAGAGAAGGCAGTGGTACAAATTAAGCTTATACTTTTAAATCGGATATCCTGCATGGATTTTTACATTGAACAGACTATTTCCTTAGAGCAGGAAAGTGCCTTTGAGAATGCCTGTAACATACTTTTGAAAACAACGAATCTAATTTTTGTATGGTGCTTTCATGGACACTAGACGATCTGAATTACCTTTCTGAGTTCTGCATGTGAACACAAAATAACTACTGATATTCATGATGTATTCTTTTCTTGTGGGGGAAAGGGGGGGGGGTGTTGTCAAATGATCAGCTTCGCCAAAATCTGCCTAATAAGTGAGCCACTAGCCAGAGATAGACTTACATAATGAGACAAAATGGGGCTTTCCTGAAGTTTCAAGTTAAAAATAAAGAAGAAAACAAGAAAAAAAAAAACCTCTAATTACATTCATACAGGATTTTGAGACAGTATTTTAAAGAAAAGGGGAAAATAAAATCTTGTTTGTATTCTGACTGGAATTTCGGGGTTGTCAGAACCAATCCGTCGGCTTCTGTATTTATTCGACAGAAACAGCCAATGGAATTTAAAGAGGTAAAATACGAGAATTTTGCAGCTCATCCTTGAAGAATACAAATCTAACCATGATGTACTCACAATAAGACAAAAAACTTCATGCTGATGCCATTTCATTTTTTCTTTAGATTATTATTGAATTGAGCGTAAAAAGAATCATTTCCTTTTCATTGTTACAAAAGGAAACTGGCCTTAGTCAAGTCAAGTTTATAAAAATAGAAAACAATACTTGTCAGAAGGAAATATGCCTCTAGCTGCTCCACTGAAATTTACAGTAAATTAATTTGAATTAATTTACGAAACTTTGACAACTTTGATGAAATTTGAAGGGGTCAAAAGCGCAAAGCTCACAATCTTCAATCATGCAGGAGGGCGAATTCAAACAGTAAACCTGATTTAATTTTCAAATTAGTAATTTACACTTATTCATCAGGGTGTATGATCTTTTTTGTTGTGTTAAATTTAAAACCAAAGAACATCAATACTAAAGCATAGAATGGAAAAAACTTATGAAATATACCTAGGGTAAAAATTATTGGTTCAAACAAAATTAAGACATTTTGAAGAAATTGTATGAGATTAATACAGGCCCATTTGGTTTCAAAATGTAATATGACTTAATTCCGTGGGTTTCAATTCCACACAGGAAAATTAACTCCAACCCAACAGACAGTGCAACTGCAGGAATGCGTATCTCGATTGTCATGGTGAAAAATCTCTGCTCTCATTTCATTGAATCAAAGGAGAATGAACCGTTACTCGAAATTTTCACAGAATTTTCTTCACATAAGGAAGAAAACAGGAGAGCTTTCAAGAAATAAAATTCCAGTATTTTTCCAATTTATAAAAAATAAAGTATGACAGAAAATCTGCAACCATGCAAACTGAGATACGCGTTCTTGCAATTTACTATGCTGAAAAGTAATGTCTCGTTCGTCCGCGAAGCTAGGTTAGGATAAGTCTATCAGCTTTAAAAGTAGTCGAGAGTCAGTTAATAAAAACATTCACAGCTAGAGTATATAAAATTGATACTTTAAGATTATGGGAGACTTTAGGATGGGTTTTTCAATGCTCTCTTTTGGGTTCTAAGATTTGCGAATGATTTGTTGAAAGCTAAAAATTTTAAGGCTACATTCTGTGTACATGCAAAGGATTAGTTTGATTTTTGAGAACTTGTGAAGTACAATGCACCATAATTTGTGTTGGAGCTTGTAAGGTACTAATTGAGCTTTTAAAACACATTAGAAAGCCAAAAAAATGTAATGCAAAGTAAACTCTCGTCATTAGATTTTCCAGCCTTCTCATAATTTCAAAGAGTGTAGAAATAATTGAGCACCCACTTTAAAAAAGCAAGTAATTACTACAGAGAGTACCTATCTACTTAAGCAAAATGTATGCAGCCACTTTTGAAAATCAAGCACCCTAGGGCAAAAAATCTTTTCCGATCTTAACCAAACTGAGAAAAATATTTTCTTAGTTGGCCTGCACGAAAATTACCGTTAAAAAATTATGAAATGCAAAAATACCACCAAGAGAGACTATTTTGATCGCAACTGAACTGAGTATAACAATATTTTAGTTGGCCTGCAGAAGGTTAGGTAAATGACCGCAGTAAAATGATGAGAGGCATAAGTATGATAGAGAGGGAATACAAGAATATTGTAGGGAGAGAAACATACTGTCTTCCAAATTCAATTTTCACCTCTTTCCCTGCAGTTGAAGCATGTGCAGAAACCAAAAGTATCTGAAAATGGGTTAACAGATGTACTAAGTAGAAAAAATGGTTCAGATACATTCTATTTGAACTTACTAGGAAAAGAATCTGAACATGAAGCATACAATTTTTTTTAGGAAAAACAGACACTTACAACTTGAAAGAGCATAATACAGAAATTAAGAAAAATTAATCATTTCAAAGGAATTGACTGGAGCGAACGGACCTTTCAAAGGGTAAGTTTGGAAAAATCATCTTAAATTTGTAATAAATTAGGCAATAGAAGTTAATTACACCAACATACGAGTTGCACATTAGTTTTGTTACATACATTTGTTAAAAGACTTGAAACACACACTGGTTCCTATTCTCACTCCAGATGAGAGGACACAGTAGGAGAAAAGGTATGGACGGACTGTAGCAGCAAAAATTCAAGGGAAAAGGACCTCAAACTTTGTCGAGGAAGTTGCACCATCAAGCAATACCTTATCTCCTGACACTATGATACACAAATTATCAAACAGATATTAGTTAACTCACTGTTAATAAGTAATTCAAAATTTCGAAATACAATTACACCTCGAGCAATGATATTTTGATAAAAAACTAAAATTAAAACAAAGAATGAAATTGAAGGGGGTTTCATTTTCCTGCTGTAGAACAATTATTGCCAATAAAATATGAGAAGGGAAAAGTTATTCAGGGTATTAAAATTGGGTTATAAAAAAAGAAAGATAACATAGCAAACCAAAACGATAAAAACCTTATGTACATCATGAGAAAGGTATAAAAGTAGAGAATGGATAAAAGGGAAAATTTCATATGGTTTCTCCATTTCATTTTAAAGACCATTTTCTTTAAAATCTCTTAACTTGTGTATTACTTTAAAGCTTACATCAAACTAATCAAGGAAATTGCAGTAGTTTTTCGCACCCTCGTGTTTAAGGGATTTTGTTTCTTTCTTTTTTTTTCTTTTTTAAATTTTTTTATTTTTTTTGCTTGTTTTTTCTTTTTTGTTTTGTTTTTTTTTCGGGTAGTTTCTTAATTTTTATTAATATTTTCTCTATCTACAATTCTAACAATGAAAAACAAAAACGATTATGCTTGCTTGCCCACTAATGACAGTCAGTCTTGGTGAATTCTAGAACAATCCGACTAATAGCATATACATGCATCCGCCTTGAGATTAAGACAGCAAATCTGAAAATAACAAAACAGAAAATTGACTACCTTGGCAAAAATAACTCTTGATATTAAGGAGACATATGTATTATATTATTAAGGATTTGCTGAACGAAGTTCTGAGCAAAGGATAATTGATAATTCCAGAATTAGTCGCTTAAAACTTGCAATTTTTGTTGGTTTACGGAAGGAAAAAAAAAAGGTAACTCCAACACAAGATGATGATACAGCAACCTGCACCAAAGGAGTAGTATTGTTGTGTGGGAATGACATAATTTTGATTGAAAAATGCAATCCAAATGAAAGTGACAGAAGCTGAACAAGAAAATAGAATACTTCAAATTGGATTCCATCAACACTTCAAAACTGATGCTGCTTCCATAATCCTCCATATGCAAGCTCCTGCTCCTTTCAAATAAAGAGAGTACCCCAATTTTCAGTCACTGCAGATGAGGAATAAAAAATTCTTACGTAAGCACTGCACCACTTATGAATAGCAAAAACTATTGGAGTGAATGATAAACCCCCAGGAACTTCTGCAGTCACTCAGCCAAGGCAGTTTTTTAACTTACGAGTGACAGGGTCTTTGAGGAGTTTGGAGCAGCTGTTTGGAGAGAGGAGCTACTTGTACAGTTTATATGTGAGGACTTATATGTAACAATAGCGGATGTCGAGTTTTCACATTGTGAGAAAATCGCGTTTGAAGTTTTCAAAACTTTGCACTTCGCCGCCCGTAGAAACGAGAGGATTCTTACAAAGATTTTCATGAAGAGCAACTCTTCCTGTAAAAAACACACGTTTTACGATCTATGTAAGTAAAAAATTAAAGGAGTAACAGCGATTTGAAAAAAATGCAACATCCGCTATTTTTACTGAAAAAACTTTTTTATGCATGGAACAAAATATTCAGTAAGGGTAAGGCTGGTGAAACGATTGAAATGAACCAAAGGTATGTCGATGCTGAGTCATTTAATCAAATTGACCAAAAAACTAAACGATGAAGGGAGGGTGTTAGAAAGTTCAGCAAGTCAAGGATGCCCAAATACTTACCTAAAATCGGTTTATATCAGCCTTTGGCAATCCGCTAGCATGAAATACATGTGGAGATATCTTGAAGTCAAAAGAAGGGTGACAAGAAATCCTTCAGCTTGCTGTCTGGGCATAAATTACTTTCCGAGGAGTCTGTTATGGTATGCACTACAGTAGATGATTTGGTGTACCGGCGCGCACCAAAAAATAATATGATACCTGACCCCTTCCTTGTCATTATTTTGGAAATCTCTACAAGTATACAGCAACTCTACTGCTTGCCCCCAATAATTTTGCAATTGGTGCTGTATTCACTCAGGGAATCACAGTATGAGTTGCCGTCAGTTTGGACGCCTCCAAATTTCCTCAACGAAAAAAGGCTCCTCTCTCTGAAATCAAATCACTTCTTCGGCTGACTTAGATGACTACCAAAAAACAGGCTGAGAACTTACCTCCATCATTATGAGTAAAATTTATGCTATCTTCGTTGGGTATTTTACCTCCCAGGTCGATAATTTGAGTTCGAGGCACTGTTGTATTACTTGTTGCACTTGGATCTAAATCGATGAGAATATTTGATGTGTTATTTTGTTGCCTGAAACAGATAAATTCGAAGATTATCTTCAATAGCTCATGCGGTTCTCAGGATAATCTCTGCCATCAATTATTTTGAGACCACACATCTTGTCTGATTGCAGCTATTAACAAAAAAACTGATTCCAACCTATGAAAATTGTTATGAAAGCTTGCAATTAATATCCTACGGCTCTCACAGTCAATCTACTGTTTTCTGATGAGAAAACGTGTAAACTTCTTTATGATCAAGTTTAAATCTGAAGAGAGCCTGGTGCCGGTGCAGAAGGGCAAAGTATGAATTATGAAACAGATTTTTTTTTTTTCCATCTATTATCCCCTTTTATATGGTGCAACTTGCAACTGTGCCACAACTCTGGGACTCAAACTCTGAGCTTCAGAAATGCTTGAAGCAGGACAAACTTCCCTTTTTTAAATCTTTATTTTACTGTAAAACTTTAGGTAATGACTTCCAGAATGATAACTTTAAAATAACAAAGATTTTCAGTTATCAACCCTTCCAAAATATCTATGCTGACAATGAATATTTTTTTTGGAACAATGTTGACAAAAAGTTGATTTGAAATAGTAAAGATTTTTTAAAGCAGCTTTAAAACACTTTTCGCAGGCCACAATCCACATCACTTGTTGTTTAGACACAGTAAAAAAAGGAAATGAATACAGGATAAAAAAATAATAGGACAAAGAATTTCAAGAGAATAAAAATTAAAGAGACTCACACTGTTGTGCTGTAACCATTTTTATGGCCATTTGTGCGGTTCTGCTCGTTTTGGGCACTAACATTGAAAGGGTTATTTGAAGCTAAAATGGAATTGGTATTTTCCAGAGGTTCTCTATTCCCATTGCACTCTTCATCCTCCTCGCCTTCGTCTTTGGTAGAAGTCATCGAAGAGGTCATACTTTTACCGCGAGTGCGCAACATAATAGCCTCAACCCTCTTGCGCCGGGCTTGTCGATCTTCCTCTTCTTTTTTCAGCCTTTCTTCCATTTCTTTTCTTTGCCTGAAATGGAAAAATTAGTTAAACCATACAAAATATTAGAAAATTGGGACATAATAGATAATTGAAATTTTCATGTACTTCACTCACCTCTTTCTTTTATATGAGGGGTTTAGAGGTTTGAAAACGGCAAAACTTCCGATCAAAGCTTACAAAAGTTTTTTTTTGTATCAATTCAGGGCTTAAATATGATTCAAAGCAAAGATAGAAAACAAAGAAAAATTTGTTCTTAACAGATTATTCTCTAATAATTTGTGATAAGGTTCCTCCAAGTACATAAATTTCTAGCCCTACCTATGAGTTGTTGAAGTATTCCACTTGAACTGGAAAGTTATTGGAAAACTTTTAAATATCTCATGGACAAAGCCATCAACTTTTACTTTGGTGCATTTTCTGAATTTTGAAGTATTAATTTGGAGCTCCAATTTTCTGAGCTTATTTATTTCGTAAAATGATAAAAAAGTTTTGAGAGGAGCTCTAATTTTTGAAGAAGGAGCTCCGTTGCATTTTCCCTAAGAAGGGGCTTCGCATTTCTTGGAGACTCTTAAATCTGTCAGATCTGCTGAGTTCAAACTAGTACAGATGCTTAGAATTGCTCTGTAAAAAACTGCAAGGCGAGAACTATAAAATACAAGCATTCATTCTAAAAATTATCAACCAAAAAGCCACTTCAGAGAAAGTATGATGATACCTTTCAAGTTCCTCCTTCATTTTACGTTCAGCCTCTTCTCTCTCTAATTTTTGTCTTTGCTCTTCTTCTTTTCGTTTCTTCTCTTCTTCTTCTCGTTTTTTTGCTTCTTCAATGGCAGCTGCTAGTCGCTCCTCTTCTGCTTTTCTAGCCAATTCTGCTAACCGATTTTGTTCTTCTTCTGCTCTTCTCTGTTCTTCTTCTTCACGTTTCAAACGCTCTTCTTCTGCTAAACGTTCAGCTTCCTGTAAGTATAGATTCATGCAGTGTTGTAAGATATTGGAGGTGTAACTGACTTAAAATGTAAAGAAGAAAACATGGCCTAGTCATTCACAAACTTATCTGAGATCTGTAGTATTATGAAAGGTCGATTCGTGACCATACATATTAGATTCGAAAGCAGACGTGTTGCACGAAGCTCACAGAAAGCTTTTTTATTGCTAGTCTATTAGTTTAACTATTACATTCATTTTATCACTTAAAGTGCTCTTCTATCATTCATCTATTTATAAAGTAAGTAATTCTAAATTTCGATTTTTAACCCTTCTCCCCTTCCCTTCATAACGCTTCTCTGCCATAAGTCTCTATCCCCTGAGATGTAAAAACAAAATGGGGCAATACTTTTCTTAACCCCCCTCCCTCCCTAAAGAATTACACATTCTATGAACGTTCTTTTTAAATAATACTAAGTAATGAATCATTGAAACTGCTACAGCATTTCATGTTAGTTCTTAGTCAATACATACATATGACTACTAATAAAGACATAAGTTCAAAACGTGGATAGGTTAAAAGCCTTTTTCTCCCAGAAATACTGAAGATGAAAGTTACTGATACTTACAAGTCTCTGTCGTTCTAGCTCAGCTTCACGCTCTGCCTGCTCTCTGGCCAGACGTCTACGTTCTGCCAATGCAGCTTTGGCTTCCTCTTCAGTTGTAATTCGTTTCACTGTCATTGATGCTGTAGGGGAAAGAGACAAATTACATTGAAATGATGAAGTAAATGTATTACATGATACTAATTTCTTGGCAAACATGAAGTAAAATTATTCCTTTCGAAAATTTCATCTGACTGACCCCTGTAAAAGTTGCGTATGAAAGGCATATCGATGGCTAGGACACAAAACCACATATCTGCTGACTAACAATTTGGCAGGACGAAGTAAAGCTTGAAAATTTGTATCTAGTAAAACATTCTACAACCTTGGTTAGGCAGATGCAGATATCACCTAATATGCTGCCATGTTGAGGAAAAATGCTGTATGTGCCTTCAGGAGTTGCCAAACCCCAAATAAAATAGGAATTGTTGAGGAAAGTTATGACTAATATTCCTTGAATTTTTTACAACCTTTCCAACAGTTTCCTTCAAAATTCGATTTCATTGGAGGAAATTAGGCAATGCCTAAAAGCTCCTACAGCGTTTTTTCTGAGCACGGCAGTATGAGAACCTTTAATTGTGTTAAAATAATTTGATGTCTTGAACAAAACTAATGCAAACCAAGAGCTTTAAATCAGATAGAAAAAATTGGATTCAAGGACTTTTTTGATGGTTCAAATTGAAGAATTAAGATTTGCACAACTAAGGACTTCGAAATTTCCCTATTTGAACAGAGAAGCTGAAAAAAGTAAATTTACCTGACATGTCACACTCGGCTAAATCAGAGGCAGCGCCACTATTGTTTTCTATTCCTTCAGATTCTATTTTAATGTTCTCAAAGGCTTCCACTGGTGGCACCACGTCTGAAGTTGGAGGATTGTACTGAACATCTACAACGGTAGGAACAGCTGACTTGCTTATCACAGTTGTCAGCTCGGGACTAGTGGCAGTTACTGCCTCCGTTGGCTCACTACTTATGTTCGTTACTCTCGTTTCAATACCTGGTGACTGGAGGGGAGTTGCTTTTGGAGTATTGGCCCCAGAGCTCTGTAAAAGATTACATGCGAGTATAAAAACAATATAAAACATTATTCGGCAAAGACACGCATATATATATTTTCTACACTTAACAGAATTCTAATCAATTCCCCAGGTTCCTCCTCACTTTTCCTTACATTGCCTTCATTATCAATGACTCCTCGTTTAAAGGCAACAAAAATTCCATAATTCTCTGTTACACAAAACTCGGTTCAGATGCGGAACCTAATTATCGTCTGGCGACTAAATCCTCGACACCTCTCAATTGGAAGTCATGCACAGTAGTCGCACGGTACAGGCAGCCCAGCCATCACCAAACCTGAAGCTTCAGCAAGACAAAGCGAGACTCGAAACACCAATCTTGACAGTGTGGCGGACAAACTTCTTCTCTCCTCGAATTCCATGGGAAAAGATCTTAAAATTAACAAGGATGAAGATGACTGCAGTATCAGTTTAATAAGCGAGGAAGAGGCATACCCAAAGGGAGGAGAAACCAAATATTTCAGAATTATTATAGGCCTAAAATCAGGTTTCCCTTGATTTTTGATTGAACGAATTTTTTCGCTCGGCCCCCGACTCTGTTAAATCAAAATTTTCACTGTAATTTAAAATTCTGCATTGTTGAAAAAAAATTGCAACAATGCTTTATGCAGCCATTACTAATCTGTCACTAATAAGTATACTCTCTTTTCCTTCTTCAAGTCTAATTTCCTGGAAGCAAGACTGTTAATGAAAAGAAGGAAAGATTTTTCCATCATCCAAGCTGTACCTAAATAATTTTGATTCGATGAACCAATCATGAGAGATAAAGATGCTGATTGGTGCCCTCCTGTCTTACCATGACCACCATCTTTCATGTTACAGCAAAAAAAGGAGGAGAAACAATTAGTCAACATGAACTTACCTTTGCTGACTTAATTAATTTTTCATTTGACTTCTTTGTGACATCTGTCTTTGACGATAATTTTTTATGAGTAGAATTTGATCTGGGAATGGGAGGTTTATCAATACCAGGAGTATAAGGTGGTTTGGCTACATTCGGACCTGGAATCATAGACCAAATGATTGATTAGAGACTATTATCAAGGGAAAATAGGTACTTTTGAGTAGAAATCAGGAGAAAGTGCTGACTATTGAGTCTACGTACAAACTAACATGAGTTAGAGTGAGCATAACTCAATTACTGAAAGCTTGATGCTTGAAAGCTTACTGATGACTTGAGAAGAGAGAAATCATTTTCAATTGAATGTTACTAAGCGGAAGGTCCTGCCTGCAAAGAAAGCTTCAAATAGCAATATCAACAGAGTTTCCATAATTTTTTCATTTTCAATTCCCTGAAAATCCCTGACTTTACTTGTTTTACCCTGACTCTAAAATTTCCAAATTTTTTGACTTTCAAAGATCTTTGAGCAAAACTTCAACTATGATTTATTTATTTTTTTTTTCAACTAGGTAAGCTGTTTTTTTTTTTTTTTAAACTATGGAAATATTTCGACTTCTAGCGATAGAAATTATGGAAAAAGCCACTTGGGACTCTCTAGGATAACAATGGCTAAAGTTGCTCGGTCAATGGTATTTATTCATTTTTCCATGTTGTTCCATCTGTGAGTGATGGTAAATTATGAGGGAAGAGCAGCAGGGCCAAAAGAGCTGGCCTTAATGAGCTATTATTGATTTAGAGACAGACTCTTACTTGTTTTTGCTGAGAGAGGATCTGTTGAGACTCCTGTTACAGCTATACTAATTGGTCTCGGTCGGCGTGGTGCAGCAACAGGTCTCATGCGAACGCTGCTTGAGCTGCTGTGCTGACTCAAGGCACTTGCAGGTCGAGAGGTCGTTGGTGTCACATCTCCAGATTTCACACCTTTGGTACAGGAAAAGAAATAAAATTGTTAAAGCATGGAGGCACAAATCACAGGAATGGATTGTTTATCAAGGTTTCCTTCAAAACGTTTTCACTAGAAGGAGGAGTCTAGGGCACGTAAAAGTTTTCATACTTCCTGTAGAGATGTCTTTTGATGAGAGAGTATAGAGTTTCGAACATCAGATCACATGAACATTCCATAATACATTGTTTTTCAAAATTAAAATTAATGTTTCAATATATTTGCATGTGCCGATATGCTTCTACATTAGAACTAATCTACATATTGCCAGGTATTCTGTTCGACCTTTGAATAAGCCTGCTAGTTGCTAGTAGAGGAACTTCTTTTTATTATTTCTTGTACTGCTGACCATTTTAGTTTCCCGATTTGTTTTCAATTTGTTTTGGTCCCCCCTTCTTTGGTACTTCCTTCAATTACTCCATCCTTTGCTATTATGCATAATTAAGCATAACAGTTTTCTTGCATTGGAGACTTCCTCCTACAATTAATTTCAGATACCTCAAACTTCTACACTATCAAAACCTTATTTCTTCAAGGTTTGGAGGATTTTTGAGTTATGAAATATTGAAAGAAACGTGATGCAAATCAATAAAAAAACGAACAAAATCAAGCTCTTACAAGAAAGTTCCCAAAATAGAAGGGTACGTACTTTTTGACAGAATCAGTGCACAGAGCTTAGGGCATGTAAACATGCCTTTTGACTGCTTTTGCAAACACTCAGAGAAACTGAGAAAGAAATGTGCAAAGGTACGAATTTGAGGATATAAAAATTCAGCATAGAGAAAAATGCAAAATGTACGGCAATATTTACAGCTGGTGCCTATTTTTGTGATCAAGGCTGTTATATTTATCATCTATGATCAAGAGGACATGTTTAGACATGACTAGGAAGGGCCTAAATTATCAATTACACTAAAGCTTGCGACTAAACAGCTTTGCCAATAACTTCGTAACGACAAGAGCATCAAACCAGAATATAGGCTGAGTTCCCTTAGATTATGCTCTATTGAAGGAAATGAAAGCAAGGTTTACCTTCAGAAAATAATTATACTTACGTAGCCGAATGAATTATCAGTTGAAAATAATGATAAAAACCTCCGGTAATAAAAATAGAAACTACTGCCATCTACTTATGATCACGATAGTACTAACTATGAAGCAAGTGCGGTTTTTTAAACAGATCATGCCAAAAAATGTAGAGGAAAAACAAAGACAATAAAAAAAGAGGCACATTCAATGCCATTAAAAATTCAAAATAAAGTAGAAAACACTGTGTATTACGAGAGAGCTATGGCTTCGATTATAGCCTATCGTTAATGATCTTGCTGAATAAGATAGAAGTATAATCCAGAGAGGTTGCATAACAGCTTGGCACTGTAAGTAAATAATTTTTTCAGCAGAAGCTCTCTTCCTTTATCAGATTTTCCTCTGAAGAATTACTCACCAAACTATGAAAGTTTTGGTAAGTATGCAACCCTGACTAAAACTGAACTTAAATGAAAATATTTCCAAATTTTTTCAACATTTGTCACAAAAATTGAATGAGAAAAACCATGCGAATGATTTGTAAGTAGCATTAAATTAATCGACTCAAAATCACACCAAATAGTCACACCGTCTGAAATTCTAAAGAACTTAACAGAAACACGAATTGAAGGAAAAGTATGAGAAAAGGATTGACAGATTGACTGCAACTTTTTTCAATGAGATCAACGCATAAAACATCACAGCATTAACTTACCCAAACAAGGGTGAAGATAATTATATGAGGAGAGGAGAGAATTGAGTCACCAGTTATCACAAAAAACAATAAAAAAAAACTAGGATGGAACTAATAAATTCACAACAAACTCATCAGGTAAGAAAGCTGACGGGTAATTTAGCATAAAGTTCACTTAAAAAATTGCTGGCAGTGAAAAAATGGAATTGGGACTAACTAGACTGAGTCTCTGCTCATTCGGAATAGGAATGACTCAATAAAAATGACCCAATGCTGTTGCTAACACTGGCACAATTGTCTGTTCCAAAGTAGATCAGGCGTGAAGCACGACAAATTACCAAGTCACTACCTCCAGGCTTGGGTGACTGGAGAGAGAGAGAAGGAAAAATAAATATGGACATACCAACATTTCCTGCCAGACAATTAGGGGTCTGATATAATGGTTACATAATTCTAGTCAATGAACTGAGTTCCTTGGAGATTTGGAAAACCTGAGCTCTGCAGAGCATAGTGAGCAGGAGGCCAGAGCACAGGCTTGAATAACTCTTTAATAGGATTCTTTGATGGCCAAAAAAACTCTGTTGGCACATTTTACTCTTTTGTTGAGTTTTACTGTTTAGTAACTCGTAAGTTGCACGTCAATAGTGTGCAACTTCAACAGTCAATTTTGAAGTAGGAACTTTCAGGATATCAACACTGCCAATAATCTGTACTTCAGGGTAGTTGTTCGGCAATTGATTGATTATTGTGGTAATTTTTATTTAAAAAATAAATTATTACATAAAGAAATTAAATAAAATAAAAATTCATGACATTTGCAGATAACCAACGTAGTATGAACACTAGCTGTAAAAATCAGTTCTGCATCAAAGTGCACGTATTATTACCAAACAGTTGGTAGCCTGATGATAGAGAACAGTTTGACAGGAATGAGGATAACGCAAATGACTACATTTTTGTATGCAAAAGAGATCATCTCCACTTTTAAAATGAGATACAAGCAATTACGCCAGACTTCCATGTATCATGCTGAGCAAGTCAAAGTTAGAGTAAAATGACCATGAAAAACTACAATTCAGAACGCTTATTGACAAAGTAACGATATCAGTACATGATAGATCACATCAACTAAACACTGACACAACACATTTATATGAAATTAAGACTCAGGCTGTTCCTGAAGTTGTTGAGAATATCTGTGCCAGTTNGGGGGGGGGGGGGGGTAAAAATGGAACTAGCATGCAGAAGATCGATTTCTCACAAAAAAATCCAAAAAACAGCTGCATCAATCATCGAACATGAAACATCAATTTTTGTTTTCAGGTTTATGACAGATTCAAAAACAATGTTTCTCAAAACGAAGAATTTTATAAAAGATAAAAAAATCCTTGAACCGACTTTTCTCCCTCATCTGCGAGAAAAATATTAGTGACTAGTAAGCTAGCCTTGAATGGACAATGGCACAAGGAAAACAAAAAAACTTCCCTCTACTTTAATAATTTGTAGCTTCAAATTAAAGTGATTTAAAATAAAACCGAACAAAAAAACAAACAAACAAACAAACAAACAGAAAAACAAGCAAACAACTTGGAGTAGTGACTCAGTCATGTTTCTGAGTAAAAAATGCTCCCCATCTGAGACATGGACCATAAAAACACCATATGGATTGAGAAAAAGACAACACCGATACTCAAGAAAATATTTTTGAAAAATACTGACCTCAACTTAATTTCCAAATGAAGGAAAGATTCCAAAGTGGATTGGGTGGATAAGCAAAGGATTTCATTATCAAATTCATTCAGGGCAGCATGATAACAATATCTCATACACATTCAGATATTGTTTTAAAAAACTTTCCATGACTTCATCATTCAAAAGGAATCGAAATTTTATTTGTGATGATGATTTTAATCAGCATACAATCTTGACATATTCACAAGAATGGGCATCTTGATCATTACCTAATGCATGATATATATAATTTTTCCCTTCTACCATTTTATTTCAAATTAATAAGGTAGCTTGGTCCTAAATGAGATGTTGAGAAGTTGATGGTAGATACAGGAGAAATAGATGAAGTTTCGAGTAAGTTGAATAAGATCAACACTTTGAGCACCATCAAAATGCTAATTTGATATGTATTGAAAAACCTACCCTGCTGAATTTGCTTTAAAAGCAACAATTTAAACAAATTCAAACAAAAATAAATAATATCAAAACAAATAAATGAATAAAATAAAACAAAAACTCAAACAAATTGACATACTTAGGGCAAACAAATATGTTAAGAATACAAAAACAGAAACTTAAAGGAAACTTATTTACTCTTCCAGAAATTCGGTTTCAAGATTTCCTGAAAATATTAAGTACATAAAAAACATTCAATCTAACAAGGGGAACTTACCAAGTTGCCGCCTCTGATCGAGCTCCTTCGCCTCGCCCGTCTCTCTTGGCGCATACCAGGTGTCCGGCACCCACTGTCTACTTGCACTAAAAACTGGACTTCTCGGAATTTTTTAGGAGTGTTTCCAGAGCAAATTGGGAAAAAAAAAACACGGTCCTAATGGATTCATCCTAAGAATTCGTACGAATTTTCTCAGCCCGATCGGAGGTGGTAGCTTGGGAAGTTCCCTTTGTCAGTAAAATATGAACCCATATATTTATTAGAAAGGACTAAATTTATTTCCAGTTCCACCCTACAGTGTTAGTTTTAGTATTAAATTTAGGGCTCATTTGGAAATGAAATTGTTGGCTTTTAATAAACAAAAAGGGTTCATAAGTGTATTTAATTACGACCACAGATGACAAAACACATAACAACTTACCTTGACCACTAGCAGGTGAATTAGAGGCAGCTTCACGAGCACGGCGGCGCAATCTTTCAGCACGAGTGGGGCGAGGAGGGGGTATGGGTCCTAGCTGGGTCATGCTGCGATGGGTGTCATTACGACGGAGATTTGACTTAACCGCCAAGTGAGACATACTACGTGACATGCTATTCTCGCTCAGCGGTTTCTGTTGTGGTAATGGTTGTGAATGGCGCTGTTTTGGCAACTGCGGTTGCCGAGGCGTAGCTAAGATGTCTAGCCGGGACATAGAGAATGCCCTACCTGGGGTGCGTCGCATAGCAGAACTTGGCCGACTGTGCGATGGAGAGGAGGACGGTATTGTCGGCATGAGGTCAGTTTTGCGCCTTGCAGCACGAGACAGTACAGAATTTTGACTACTTGTGCTTCCAGGAGCATCCTCACTCCCTTCCATGCTAGCACCTAAAATTATCAATCGGAAAAGTCAGTTTGGAAAACAGCCAAATTGGCTAGCCCTTGAAATCCCAAACCTACCATTTTTCCAAATTATTTATGTCCTGTGCATGAGATACCTTGATGAAAACTAACTAAAAGCTATACTTTCAAATTGATTGAATAGAACGGATAGGAAAGAACCAGTAATAATCTACAATCATTCATAATGACCCACTGGCCAAGGACCAATCCTAAATGCCAAAATATATTTTTCTCCATTGAAATTTGGCATAGAACACAGGGTACATATTCAAAATTAATAAATCCTTCTCATAAATCATAAATTAACAATTTTTGCAACCAGTAATTCAAACCTCTCATATCCAATTAAAATTGAAGTCTGCTTGAGTTAAATCACAGACTAATATAATTGCTGCCAGCAATTGCTTTGCAATCAAACGGTTTTCTGAGTATGCTGATTTTTTTCCTTGACAATTTTTGAGAATACTGTAAATTAAATGGGAGAGAGAATTCTCGTAAAACCTGATTCACGTAATCAGCTAAACTGAAGCGATCTTATGGTTATCACTTTTATTATCAGTTATTTGTTGAGAGAATAGAATAGTTCAAAGGAAACAAAATCAAATGCACTTGGACTCCTTGCTTCCTCATTCTGATGGTTGTCTCAAACGTTTTGCCGGCTGCTCAGCAACCTTCATTTTAATGGAAGCTTAACTTCAGAGACTGTTTTCCAGTTTCAGTTGAGTTTTACATTAAGCTATCAGGTTAAAGCAATACTTATCTTGTAAAAAATTAAATGCAATTTTAGGGTTCAATAGCGATTCCCAGTCTATGACAAAGCTGACTTTACGTGAGAGTAAAATACAAAAGCAAAACAAATTTTGGGAAAGCATTAAGAACAGTTCTCTCTGAAGAATGCTATAACCCTTAATTTTAGTTATTAACTCTTACATTGTTAAAAGACATGAAACATTAATTAGAGAGAGAAGCAAAGGAAAAAGATTGTGCACAAAAAAAGCCGTCTGGTTGAATTTGAAAAAGAAAATAAATTAAACAAGCTGTGATTTCAGTGCTCACATACTGGAAGCGTACATCCCTACTTAAAATGTGAGACTACTTATTTCCCCTAATGAGTGAACAAGTAGAATGCTACCTATCAGATCTGAGAAGCAGACTGGAATCTTGCTGCTCTAAGATCTGAGACCTACTTACATCTTTTCGATTCTGATTCTTAGTTGAAAAGACGGTTACAAAAATTACCTAAATTAGCTATTTATACGACATTAAAATTTATGGTACATAGATGATCAGTGTATTGAAAATAAAACAGAGACAAGATTCTTGTTATCTCGAAATGAATAATTGGTAAAATGAGAGGATAAGGCATCTAGACTTATTCAAATCTTGTAGTGAAGAAGGAAGAATTTGCTGGTTAGTGGCAGAGATTTTGTATTACCAATAAGGGAAAGATGACCAAACGTCAGCACACTCAGCATTAGAAGAAAGTAAATACAGTTGCAAGATAATCTCTACTATGCAAATAGAGCCATTAAACAAAGCACGGTGAGTGATTATCAATTCAGAAACTATTACTCATTAATCTATGATGAGGTCAAGAAATAAAAATCTAGATGTTAATGTAGGTAATGCATTTAATAGAAAGGTGTCCATCATTATAGATGTAGAATCCACCGGTGAGTTAAACTTAAATTATTCTCATGAGGGTTTCAAATGAAAATAGAAATGCTCCCAAACAAAATCTCAACAACGTAGGAGAGATTTGCGGAAAACGATTTGTCATCCAAAATCGTAAAAGAAGACTACGAAAGACAACAGACTAAAACAGAGAGTGCAACAGCAGTGATGGTAGGGACTTAGGTTAATTGACCTTTAACTGCCAACTGTTGATACCATGGTTAACAGTCAAAATGACAGAGCTGACATCTATTATCGTTGGTCTCTCTTCAACGCACTTCATTGATAAGAATTCCTAAAAGAAATACTTCCATCCTAAAGGAATACTATCAAGACTTCCATCACTGCAAACAATATGCGACTTTGAATCGTATGTATCTCAACTTCTAATCTATGAAATTTCTACCGACTAAGGTACATAGAATTTGTTTAATGCAGACATATCTTGCCTCTTTAACATTTTTTGCTACCCCTACTCCTCTAATTTTTGGGAATTCTTTCTCTGCTAACTGATAACCAGAATTAGATATTAAATATATTGGATGCATTTCAGGGCAAGAACTATCTCACAGACTGCAAATCTGTTTTGTACCGAAGATAAGAAAGTTTGTATGCCTCCTCTACTACCTTCCTTCCCCTCACAGAAATCGATTCAGGCCCTGATTACGGATATAGGTAACCTATTTACTTTTGATGGATCCGTGCTATCATCAGAATTTTTGACTGAGTCAGATTAATAACTTCAAAACCTGTGAGAACCTTCCATATTGTTCAGCAAATACTGAACCAGCTTGTTATTTTCCATATTTTTAGTTATTTATTTTTTTTTTTTTTTTTTTTTTTTTTTTTTTTTGTACTTCCTTACTCTGTGATAAGGGAAGCATGAAAATTTTCAAGTTACTAACAAGCTAATTAGGCCACGGTAGTTAGGCTTACTATTGAGATACAAGAAAAACTGTAGAGCATGAGATACCATGAAGCTATAGACTCTAAACACTGAATAAAATTTTCAGGAAAGCAGCACAAAAACATGATTATTAAGTACTTAAGAATGATGAAAAACTTTGATTCATACCCTTCAGAAATAATGATTATCTGAGTGCGACTGGTGATAAGAAATTTTTGTTCATTTCAGCCTACACTAGAGTGTGATATTTAGTTGTTATTATAGTAAAAGGTGTCAGTCAGGGCCGGATTTAAGGAGGGCCACATGAGCTGCAGCCCATAATGACAAATAACAGAAACACAGAGGCTGATTTCAAAAGTGATGACTTATTTCATTTTGTAAGTCTTCAAACGTCATCACTATTGGCATCCAGGAGCGGCAAACTGATGTTAGCCCAGAAGAGCAAAATTTTAAATCCGACTCTGGTGTCAGTGGTATTTTAATAAAAGCTCTACCCAATTAAAGGCCATTCAGAAAAGTCACAAATGCTAAGTTAGTAGAAAAAAACCAAGACTGAGAGGAAAGGATTTTAATTACAATGCATTTATGAGTCAACGATTAGTCAAAACTGACTTGTAAATGAGTTAGTCAAGCAAGCCTGCAAAGCAAGCGCTGCTCACCATTTGGGATGGTATAAAAGGAATTAGTTTGGGGGTTTCCATTACAGGAATAATAGTCAGGGGTCCAGCCCAAAACTTCATAAATTGAGTCCATCATTCCATCTGCAAGAGAAAAGCTTAACAAACTCTCATACATGATTGTGGCAACATCCCAAATATAAGCTGCAGCTCTTAGTTTCTCAGATTTCTAATTGAGTTGTTGCCACTGTTACATAAAGGAGTTGGTTCTATCATTAGCTATTAAAAACACCTGGAAATTACAAAGACACAAAGGAGATTCATAGTAAGCTACTTGAAAAGATCTGAACTAGAAAGTAGCATCACACATTATTTCTTCAAAACCTTACGGAGAAGACGATTCACACATCGGGAAGCTCACATATCAACTCCTGAACAAGATATCAACAACTATTTTTTGCACCGATTGAATGGAAGTTAGAAGACACAACTACCATCATTTGTATTTTTGCCATTTTAATATTAATTGTATCTTGTTTGAAAGTTGATTTCAAGACTCCCTGTTAATTTTTTTTCCTTGTAAAATTTTGAAGAGAAAACATGTTGCATGGTGCTTTAATTATAACCTTATCTGAGGCCAATTTAAGATTCAACCGCTGGTTTCAACAAAAATGCCGATAAAAAAGGAGAACCCATGTTTTTCTATGAACGAAGTCGTAGAAAAACACTTTCATTTATGTTTCTTTGATATTTATAAAATGAAAAATGGTAGTAGTACTCTCCTTTCTGCTTGTTTCAGTTATATTAAAAGGTTCATTGGGGAATAAAATGGAGCTATTTCTATTTATCGTTCCTCATAAAGTAAATTGAGAGTATCCATTGATGCAACTACACATTTTGCTATTTCACTTCCCCAGGGATTTACTGAATTTAAGGTCGTAAGTAAGTGAAATTTAAGTCAATGTACAGTATTTCAGTTTCCACTTGTGCAATGTGTTATTTGATGAGGCAACAACAGGTAGTTCTCCAGAAATAACATTACGTAATTTAGGGGAATACTTGTAGAGAAGAATTTTGGTGGACTCGGAATGCCTACTTATCAGAAAAAGAAATGTTTTTGCTGATAGAACCACACGTTGACATTCCTACACCAAATTGATCCTTTGTTTGTTTTAGAAAAAAATATTTCACTTGGCCAAGTTTTACGCCTTTACGTTTTTAGCTTCACATCCTATTTTATGGATTGATAAGGATTCTAGAAACAAATATATTACTTAGGATACAGTTCAGAGGAATTTTCCAATAGACCGGAGTTGGGTTTGAGTCTAGGTCTATAAAAAATTTGTTACAACAAACAGCATCAATTCTCTGTTCATGTACTTTCCAAGTTACGAAGGAATTTCCTGTTGAAGTAACCCAGGCTGGAAAAAAATGCAGCAGGTACACACGCGCACTTTGCATGAACACTTCAATCTCCACAATATAAATTACAAGATGCCATGCTTCGTGTCACAGGCAATCAAAAACGCATTGAAAAGGGAAAGTTAAAAGCTAATTTGGTAGGCTGTTTCAGTGCAGGCACATGTAACAACTTCAAGACTGCCAAACTAAAGAGTCAATGAATAAAATTTAAAAACTGAAAACACCCAGAGCACGAAAACTTAATTGCCCCAAATACTTTTTTGTTGTACTAGGAACGATGATAAACCTGATAGAGGCACCAAGTTGTGTCCGAAACCAAGCCCTTTACAGCTAATTATACTTCTGTAAAGTGACTTTGTTTGGGAGGCACCACGCCGCAGTGGGCATTGATGTCAATAACACATAAGATTACCATATTTTGGTCAATAGAGGTAAGTACAGCAGTGTTGTTGATGCGGAGACCATTCAAGGGTAAGAAAATGGAAATCATGACAGCTTGTCCACGCGACTCCTTGATTCCATAACTGCCAAAGACAATTATGGTGGACCTAATATAGATAATACATACTTGTCACTAAATTTCCTCAATTATCCTTAGTTGCTATTANCATGATTATTAAGTACTTAAGAATGATGAAAAACTTTGATTCATACCCTTCAGAAATAATGATTATCTGAGTGCGACTGGTGATAAGAAATTTTTGTTCATTTCAGCCTACACTAGAGTGTGATATTTAGTTGTTATTACAGTAAAAGGTGTCAGTCAGGGCCGGATTTAAGGAGGGCCACATGAGCTGCAGCCCATAATGACAAATAACAGAAACAGAGAGGCTGATTTCAAAAGTGATGACTTATTTCATTTTGTAAGTCTTCAAAGGTCATCACTATTGGCATCTAGGAGCGGCAAACTGATGTTAGCCCAGAAGAGCAAAATTTTAAATCCGACTCTGGTGTCAGTGGTATTTTAATAAAAGCTCTACCCAATTAAAGGCCATTCAGAAAAGTCACAAATGCTAAGTTAGTAGAAAAAAACCAAGACTGAGAGGAAAGGATTTTAATTACAATGCATTTATGAGTCAACGATTAGTCAAAACTGACTTGTAAATGAGTTAGTCAAGCAAGCCTGCAAAGCAAGCGCTGCTCACCATTTGGGATGGTATAAAAGGAATTAGTTTGGGGGTTTCCATTACAGGAATAATAGTCAGGGGTCCAGCCCAAAACTTCATAAATTGAGTCCATCATTCCATCTGCAAGAGAAAAGCTTAACAAACTCTCATACATGATTGTGGCAACATCCCAAATATAAGCTGCAGCTCTTAGTTTCTCAGATTTCTAATTGAGTTGTTGCCACTGTTACATAAAGGAGTTGGTTCTATCATTAGCTATTAAAAACACCTGGAAATTACAAAGACACAAAGGAGATTCATAGTAAGCCACTTGAAAAGATCTGAACTAGAAAGTAGCATCACACATTATTTCTTCAAAACCTTACAGAGAAGACGATTCACACATCGGGAAGTTCATATATCAACTCCTGAACAAGATATCAACAACTATTTTTTGCACAGATTGAATGGAAGTTAGAAGACACAACTGCCATCATTTGTATTTTTGCCATTTTAATATTAATTGTAACTTGTTTGAAAGCTGATTTCAAGACTTCCTGTTAATTTTTTTTCCTTGTGAAATTTTGAAGAGAAAACATGTTGCATGGTGCTTTAATTGTAACCTTATCTGAGGCCCATTTAAGATTCAACCGCTGATTTCAACAAATATGCCGATAAAAAAGGAGAATCCATGTTTTCCTATGAACGAAGTCATAGAAAAACACTTCCATTTATGTTTCTTTGATATTTATAAAATGAAAAATGGTATTAGTACTGTCCTTTCTGCTTGTTTCAGTTATATAAAAGGTTCATTTGGGAAATTAATGGAGCTATTTATCGTTCCTCATAAAGTAAATTAAAAATATCCATAAATGCAACTACACATTTTGCTATTTCACTTCCCCAGGGATTTACTGAATTTAATGACGTAAGTAAGTGAAATTTAAGTCAATGGACAGTATTTCAGTTTCCACTTGTGCAATGTGTTATTTGATGAGGCAACAACAGGTAGTTCTCCAGAGATAACATTACGTAATTTAGGGGAATACTTTTAGAGAAGAATTTTGGTGGACTCGGAATGCCTACTTATCAGAAAAAGAGGTGTTTTTGCTGATAGAATCACAAATTGACATTCCTACACCAAATTGATCCTTTGTTTGTTTTAGAAAAAAATGTTTCACTTGGCCAAGTTTTACGCCCTTATGTTTTTAGCTTCACGTCCTATTTTATGGATTGATAAGGATTCTAGAGACAAATATATTACTTAGGATACAGTTCAGAAGAATTTTCTAATAGACCAGAGTTGGGTTTAAGTCTAGGTCTATAAAAGGTTTGTTACAACAAACAGCATCGATTCTCTGTTCACGTACTTTCCAAGTTACAAAGGAATTCCCTGTTGAAGTAACCCAGGCTGGAAAAAAATGCAGCAGGTTACTTAGGATACAGTTCAGAAGAATTTTCTAATAGACCAGAGTTGGGTTTAAGTCTAGGTCTATAAAAGGTTTGTTACAACAAACAGCATCGATTCTCTGTTCACGTACTTTCCAAGTTACAAAGGAATTCCCTGTTGAAGTAACCCAGGCTGGAAAAAAATGCAGCAGGTACACACGCGCACTTTGCATGAAAACTTCAATCTCCACAATATAAATTACAAGATGCCATGCTTTGTGTCACAGGCAATCAAAAACGCATTGAAAAGGGAAAGTTAAAAGCTAATCTGGCAGGCTGTTTCAGTGCAGGCACATGTAACAACTTCAAGACTGCCAAACTAAAGAGTCAATGAATAAAATTTAAAAACTGAAAACACCCAGAGCACGAAAACTTATTTGGCCCAAATACTTTTTTGTTGTACTAGGAACGATGATAAACCTGATAGAGGCACCAAGTTGTGTCCAAAACCAAGCCCTTTACAGCTAATTATACTTCTGTAAAGTGACTTTGTTTCGGAGGCACCACGCCGCAGTGGGCATTGATGTCAATAACACATAAGATTACCATATTTTGGTCAATAGAGGTAAGTACAGCAGTGTTGTTGATGCGGAGACCATTCAAGGGTAAGAAAATGGAAATCATGACAGCTTGTCCACGCGACTCCTTGATTCCATAACTGCCAAAGACAATTATGGTGGACCTAATATAGATAATACATACTTGTCACTAAATTTCCTCAATTATCCTTAGTTGCTATAACTTTTGGAAATTTGGACTTCTACATTCTTCAATTATTTCCTGATAAGTAGGCACTCAGGGTCCCACATATTTCCTAAATGAAGTTTAAATTACTTGATTTAAACACACAGAGGGAACATTTTTTTCAGAGGTTTGGAAAGAGGAGGAAATTATTTGTCACATGTGAATTTATACAAATAACTTCATCTGATATAAAGATACCTACATGAAGTTATAATAATTAAGATAGATGAATGGATAAAAAATTAAAAAAATTCATGCTATACACAGAACAGAAAATTCCCTGATTCCACCAAAGCACTCAATGATGATACTTTACTTAAAAATATCATTACTAATTTGCATCTTCAAAAATATTGACTAAAATATCAAAACCCAAAACCATCACCTTAGAGTCCTTCACCTCTAACACTTAATTCAACTACAAGATCAACATTTGCATCCCAAGAACAATGAACAAAGGAAATAAAATATAATTTTGAGAACCTACAGAGAGACTTACATTGGAGAGGGTTGTTTCGGTTTAACAGTCCGCTGGCTGAAGTGGCTCGTTTCTTGGATGTGCCGTCTGCCAGTTCTCTTTCAGAGGAGCGACGAGTCAAGGGACCGGGGGTTATAGAAGCAGCCATCATCACATTGCTTGTTGATGTTGCTCTGGGTAAAAATTAAATCAGTTAGTTGGAGACGCATAGGCTAATTGAAAAATGATTATTGGTAGAGTATTTTTGAGGAACTAGGACACTGGCAGATTTAAGAACAACTCACTCAATCATCAGAAATTGAAAAATTGTTCCAACTTTCCGAACAGATTATTGAGTTGATTCTCACACTTGAGCATCAGTCACTTTTACAGGGTAAAAGAGCGCTTCACGCTGCCTAACCGCCACAGAGATCTGTTAGGGAGAGATCGCCGAGATGGCATTTCTCCATCTCTTTCAGAGAGAATATTCTCTTCGAAAGATTCTCTTTTAAAGAGAAAATTGTCTTTACAAGAGAAATGTACTCCCTGCAAAAGCTGACAACAGCTTCACAAAATTAAAAAGGTGGGTATCTTCAAGATGATCACTACACCACTGAGGCTGACCCATCAAGTAAATGTATCCAAAGTATTCAGGAGATTTGACCTTCTTAAAAAGATAATTTTATCAGACCATTTTTATTAAACATTAATTTATGTCAGTAGTTATCGCTCTCTTCAGAGGTCTGTTGTCTTCGGCTGTTATTCTGAGATTTTTCGAAATACTCAAGCTCAAAGGGCAATACAAGGGCAAAGGCATGTGGGGGGTTTTCGGTGGTTTTTCATGCTGAATGCATTTGTACCAAAATAGAAAATGCAGGCAGAAACGCCTAGTGCAATGATTCACAGCTAGAGGCTATTATGAAGACCTAAAGCAAAAATCTAAATGGTTTTTGAATGGTACATGTTTCCTAAAAAATAAACTGATGACAAAATCGATTGCTCTCCAAGATAATATATCTGAGTGAATAAAAGGTACCTTCTGCTAGCCCAATATGACCCTCCAGTGTCAGCAGGCTCTAACATTCTGGGTGTTGAACTTCCGAATGCGAATACTATAGAGCTACGGTCATGTCTTCTTTTGGTTTCAATTCTGGCCTCCCGTTCCTGGAAATTTAAATAAAAATTAGAAACCAAAGAACTTGAAAAAGTAAAAACTTTAGATATGCATAGCTTCATAAAGGCATTATAGACATTCTTTCATCGTTAATTAAATTAAATGGTTCTAAGATAGTTAATTATCTACTTGAGGAAAATTGCAAATTGACTGTAATGTAAAGAAGACATGGTGCAATGGGTGAATAGGATTCCAGGGAAAATCCATTTAATTCAAATATCCAGAAGGAGTTCAATGTATAGGTAGTGCACAGCTACACCCAAATGTAGGTGAAAAAATATCAAACCAGGAGAATCTGGAAAAAGTAAGAATTTTTCAATTGAAAAAGACTCCAACTGGACCAAGCTTAACAGAAGCAAGCCGAATCGCATTTTTGAAAAGAGGAAAAATTAATGAGGAGCGGTTTAAATTTAACGAGTCCTAAATTTTCTTCTCTCAAAAATTCATAGTCGAGAAAAACTAATTTGAAATTTAAAATGGTCGTTCAACTTCATCATAATCAGCTTAAAGATGAGGGTCGTTACCTAATGATGAAGTTTAATGACCATTTTCAATTCAACTTTTAATTCCAAAAACGTTCCTGTGGTTTATATTATCTGGCCAATGAAGGATTTTGTATTGTTCTGAGGGATTATTATTTTATAATTATTATTTAAGGGTTCAAGAGGTCAATATTGGCAGGTGCAATAACATGAACCTAATAACAATGGGTACTTAAAATTTCCTTGCCACAATTTATTTTTGTACACAAACAAACTCCGTGTACTTTTATAAATGTTTGGCAAACGACTGTAGTAAAAAATAAGAGCCTGGAGAGAATTCAAAAGAAGTTAAAGGGAAAAATTAATTTTTAAATGTTAGAAGTGGAGACTCTCAGTTTCTGGAAGAGATTCTTTGATTTATCCTGAAATTTTTCATCCCTGATGAATCCCGGATTTTTCCGGTCTAGACACCATGATTTAAAAAGATAGTAACGATAACACATGGGTCCTAGGCCACTACAATGGACTGTAATGTTGTTTATTTCTTAAAATTCCTTTCTAGATAGGTTCATTCTGCATAATATCAATTTAACAAATTGTCCATCTACATGGAGTAATGTAGCCACACACAGCAATGTGATCTGGGGAACTTACCTGGTTTTTTCGAAGGATGGCTTCCTTTCTCTCTCTTTCAGCTTCAAAAATTAGACGCTTTCTTTCTTCTACCTGGTGCCTTTTGTCTGAATCTCGCATTCGGAGCTCTTCCATCCTTCTCCTTCTCTCTTCCTCTTTTTGTTCCCTAAATTTCTGAGCTGCAAGAGCCTAATAGAAAGAAAAATAAAATTAAAAGTTGATCATGTATTTCAAGACACTTGGAAAATGGCATAGTTGATATTCTTAAATTTTGTTAAAAAAGATCTGTGCCCTGGAAAAAATCTGGACTATACCTTATAAAAACTATTTCTTTCATTATCTTGAGGGGGAAAAGTAATTCTTGAGGGATATTTAATCTGTAAGATATTGTATGATTCTAAAACTTGTCTAGAGACCATCTTAAGAAAAATGGACATAAAAATCATTGTAAATTTCATCTTCAGAAAATGAAACATCATTAACACACTACAAGCTTTTTGAACTTCCGACACATAGGTAGGCAATGGCATATTTTCGATAAACCTCAGCATGGAATTTTTCAGCAATAACCACAATTCATACATTGAAGCTAATAAAATAATTGACAGTTGGGATTAAAAAAAAATAAAACCATAGTGGGTTCTGAGCTAATAAAGTTAGATGCAATTAACATTCCAAAACATTGAATCAATATGAATTTACAAAGATAGCTTGATTTCACAAGCAAAGGTGGTATTAAAAACTCAAAATGTGGTACTTGGAAGGGAGAAGTACTTTGGACCCGGAGCGACCGAAAAAAAGTAACTCGCAACTTACTTCAATTCAGGTACACTTGAGGCAATAATATTCGTTTCGTGGGCAGGAGGGTAGGCAATAGGTGTGGGGATCAAAGTTCATGACAGCTTTTCAGAACCGAAATCAAGGACTTTTGGGGATTATCCGAGGAGTTCTAATCAGTGGAATCAAGGACTTTTCAAGGACTTCTGAGGACTAGGGGTAAAAAAGGGTAAGAAATAGTGCTTTAGAGATTGAAATTACTTTTTCATTAAAGTCACTGTTATACATATATGTGTAAAAAGCAAGTGCAGAATACTTGGGAAGTCTGTATTCAAGAGGGCAAAAATAATAACACACTCATCTACCAAACAGGTAAAAATAAAGTGAAGCAGTGGACAAAAAATTCGCTAGCCACCTTCCTCAGAATTTCTTCTAATTGGACTTCATTTTGCAATTAGGAACTACAATTTCTGGCTTATCCGTAAAGACACTCATGTTCCTAGGGGAACTAATGGTACATATCGACGGTGCAAGTCGGCAATCACATAACTCGTTTGCGGTGTCTGAAAATCTCCGCAACTATGTTATTTTTTTAAAGGAGAACACATGGACATGATTCCTTGAAGTTTTTGCAGAATTTTCCTCGCACATAGAAGAAAAATCACGGCAGTTTTAAATAATTACCGTTGAGTAGTTTTCCGTTTAAAAAATAAAGTATGACAGGAAGTCTGCGACGTCGCAAACCGAGTTATGTGATTGCCGACTTTCACCGTCGATATGTTGTTTCTAAACTGGGCCAGAAATTGCAGTTCCTGATTGAAAAATGTAGTCCAATTCAGGGAGTCTAGTTGAATTTCATTTTGAGAAATTCTGGAGATAACCTGATTTTTCCTGATTTTTGACTGCTAAATCCTGATTTCATAATTTTTCCAAATCCGGGTCAAATCAATATTTTGGACGTACCTAACTTCACAAAAATATTTCGATAAAAAAATCCGATCGGACGGCTGACTTTTCTCAAATCCTGATTTTAAGACCGATTTTTCCTCAAATCCAGACAGAATCGGGTAAGTCGACAAAATCCTGATGCTAAACATTCTGCGATTTCACGATTTCATTGGTGTTCATTCCGATTGATGCCATATGGAGATGCAGATAATTATAAAACATTGCTGAGTGGTAACTTACTTGCTGCTTGAGCTCCTCGAGTTTTCGTTGTCGCTCTTCATTTTGCTTCTCTCTGAGGATTTTGAGCCGCTCCTCTCGATCTCGCTGTAGGCAAGTGGCGTTTACTGACTCTCGTGCTCCTGGAAAACAGAAATAAAAGCTCAACTGAAAATTTAAATCAAACAAATCAAATAATGAACAATGTGCCCGTTAAACAATGTTGAACGGCTGTATCGCATGGGTTATTTTACGGGTATGAATAAAACTTACTCTTCTATGAAGTTTCTTCTGGATCTCCCCAAGTTGCAGCTAAGACACCCCCGAACTAAGGGAAAATTATATTTTTCTCTCAATTTTGGCAACATTATGGACCGAAACTCATGAAAAATGGCTACCAGCTGTCATTATCAGCTCTGAATTCACCCATGGCCACGAAATATTGCGATATCAAGTCTAACTACATAAAGGGGGCGATATCAAGGGGTCTCGGATCACCAAGGATAAAAAAATAAATCCCATCCCCATTGGACGCCTAAAGGCTAAAATCCTTCTACAACTTAAGATTTCGATATTTTTTAAGCCATCAGGGTGTCTACTAAAACACGTTGGCTAAAAATCAGTACTTTTACAGTACATTCCCGGGAAATTCAGTACCTCCTCAACAGAAAAATTCAGTACTTTTTCAGTGCCTCCAATTGACGAAATTCGAAAAATTTCACCACTTTGAATTTCTCGCTCAAATTGCGACAAAAATTACAAAAATTCCGGACCTTCTTGTAGAATTTCACCACTTTTTCAGTATTTCTGGACCGCCCTTGAAAAATCCGTACTGTTTACGGACTATCCGGATATTCCGGACTTGTAGACACCCTGACTGGAACCCTGGCCATAGATGAATTTAACGCTAAAATTATAGAAAGTTCGATGAGTTTTGATCCAGAATCGTCTCCGATCTTAAAAAAAGTATAGTTTTCCAAAAGCTTCCGGGGGCTGCAGCTCTGACCCGAGGGTGGGCTTTTGAGAAAAACTTCACGGCGAAAAAAAAAAAAAAGAAACCCTTTTTGACCGATAGAGTACGCCGATGCAGTATGTCGGTCTGACACTGGTGCAACCTGTATAAAATCTAAAAAAAGAGAGAGAGAGAAAAACAAAAACCGAGTTAGAGGATCGAGCATCGTCCAGTGCAGTCACTGGGAAGAGGCACGCATTGCATGAAAACACCATCGAGGAGAAAACCTCCTTGAGGAAACCTCGCATTCTTCCGAGCCTCCGGTCCAACGGGTCGATTTTTGAATCGTTATCGAGCGTTATTGATCGATTAATGCCCATGTTAGGAATACTCTTTGTCGATAACGATTCGACAATCGACCCGTTAGCTCCGCTTCTTCGTGACGACGCGCGACGCCACGTCCGCGTACGTAACGCGTGACGACAAAGCGACGTCCAGGAGGCGTCCGAGTCCATTATATTTATGATCCATGCAGCCTCAGCTGTAAAATTATCGAGGCTAGTTCTGCCGTGATAGCGAAGAGAGCAGTAAGTGCAAGACTGAAGTTTTGAGAAAACGGGCTCAGAAGCTTCTGACCGGAAAATATTGAAAGAAGCCTCCGTTCTTAGTCAAATTGTCACTAATCGTCCGAAAGACTCCTAGAAATCGTTTGGATAATTAAAAATCGGCTGATTTTATTTCATTTTCATGCTAGGTTATTGCTAGGCAAGACAGCCGTAAGTACTATCTTTTGCATGCTTTCGTGGTTGCGTTTTGGACACAAAACAACCGCATTTTCAGGTTAGACATTCGCAGAGGAGGGCGGCACTTTACTCGAAAGCACTGTTTTCATTGGCTCTCGGGAGGATTAATGTCACTTACTGCTATCTTGCCTAAAACTACGTCATTTTTTGATCACTTTCGGCTTACTGCTATCTTGCCTAAAACTACGTCATTTTTTTATCACTTTCGGCTTCCTCGTAAGTTTCGTTTCGATGCAACTAAGATGAATTTCGTTGTTTTAGCAATTTCAGTGATTTCATCTAAAAGAGTTTGGACGAATTTCAAAGGAAACTCGATTTCGAAAATTTGACACTTACTGCTCTCTTCGCTATCACGGCAGAGTTACCCGATAAGTTTTCAGGCGAGTTTTTGCGGATTCATGAGCTGAGCGAGGAAGATGTGTCTGGACTTCATATGAAAATAAGGATCAAGGAGAAAAAACAGAATGACATGGGGTACTGAGTCTGAGCGTTGGGTCAATCAGCGGACAATAAATGAATTACATTTTGCAATAAGGAACCACTATCTCGGGCTCTTTCATAGAAACGCATATCCGCATAGGGAAACCAATGGCACATATGTTGTTTCTAAAATGAGCTGGGAATAGTGGTTTCCTTATTGCAAAATAGAATCCAATTTGGCCTCAATAGTCCGCTTCTGTATACTTGTGGAAAGTCGGGGGCGGTTCTCGATAAATCATTTCCGCACACAGCGACATTTGGACTGCATTTTGCAATTTGGAACTATAAATTCTGGCTCATCTGAAAAAACACTTATGAGCATGGGGAAACTAATGGCACTTACGTTGTTTTTTAACCGGGCCAGAATTTATGGGTCCAAATTGCAAAATGCAGTCCAGTTTTTCTGTGCTCCATGACTGCAGTCGTGTGGACTGTAGATGCAAAGTTATTTTTATTTTTCTCCGCGGAACTAACGTCTTAGGGTTATTTTAGAAACAACGTGTGTGACTATTAATTTCCTGATGCAAAGAGGAGCTTCTCCCTGCGTCTTTTTCTTCTACCTCTCTTCCTTCATTGCTTTCCTTCTTCTTCAAATAATAAATTCTTGATATTCCTCTTTGTCGTGTTTTTCTTCTTCCTCATCGTTGCTCCCCTTTCCCTTTTTTCTATTCTTTGTCTATTCTTCTGCATTTCCCTTCTCTTTTCCCTCTTTTACCAAATGCTAAGCCCCCCCCCTTGTTTTGTCTGTGCGTCCGTCACAGGTAATGTGACGTCAGATTTCCTGACTTTTGACACTGCGCATGTAGGATCCTACTTGGGAATAAAACGAATCAAAAGTATGAGTGACTCAAAAATGAAAAAGGCTGATCACGGTTCATTGACTCTGACTTACAGCTCCTAGACTTTGATGAGAAGAATGATAATTGGACTAGATTTTTCAATCAGGAACTACTGTTTCAGGCTCATTCATATAAAAACCAATCTACACACAGAATCTAGTGGCGCACATGCTATTTGTAAAAATGGCCGGAAATAGTAGTTCCTCGTAGCAAAATGCAGTCCAATTTCAGCTCAAAAGACGACTAACGTTGGCCGGTAAGTATCGCTCGGCAGTCAATTGGAGCGAACGAAGCCTGTTAAATGTGCCAAGTCGAATTGCGGGCACACCGTTGCAATGCTTTTGTGATTTTCGTTCATTCTTTCAACATCAATTCTTTCTTAATTTTTTGTTTTTGGTCCCAGCGATGTGATTCATTACACTTGCGAAGTTCGTATGTGTGAGGAAGCGCACTTTATCATTTTGCTAGTTTTCTCTAAGTATTCCGTGGAAACATAATTAATTTCTCTGGTGCTTCTCGACGAAATTTTCTAATTTGAGTATATAAGACTGCTTCATTTTAACTATTTTTAAGTGGGAAAAATGGAACACTTTTTGTAGTAACACACCGTTAGACATGAACCATTTACTCCATTTACTAAGTGAAATTCGACAGCTGAAAAAAGGCGAAGTCCAAACGACCACGGACCGGGCGAACGCAGAAGAAAAAGGATAGCTAGAGGGAAGAGAGCTCTCTTGACCGCGAGGAGTAAATCAACTACGAGTTCATTTAACTCGGAGTAATTTTAACTATAAACTTTATTTTAACACGCGTTGAATGGGATATCGACGGTAAGACGACTAAACCATGTCTCTCGTTTACGGTGTTCAAAAATCTCCGCCCCCATCTTATTTTATTAGGGTGTGCAAATCAACATTATTCCTTGAGGTTTTTTTCAGAATTTCCTTCGCGCATAAAGAGGAGAAATCACGGCAGTTTTTAAGAACTGACGTCGAGTAGTTCTTCATTTAAAAATTAAAGTAAGAAAGAAAGCCTGCAACATCGTAAACCGAGATACGTGGTTTGGTAATTTTACCATTGATGTATAATAAGAACTAGGGGTGTGCGGTGAACTCCCAGAGTTTTAACAGTGGCACGCGATCAGCAAACACTTCTGAGTCTTATTGTTCGTTTTCTTTAAATCAATCACGACTTCCATTTTGGATTGTCAAAAGTTTATTTAATGAATAGGGTCCAAATTTGAAGAACAAACGTTCCTTCCTTCGTCAACAGTCATGCTTGAGGTTGAATTACTGCAAAAAGGGAAATCGTTGAGAATTGGCAAGCTTTAAAAGGGCATGTCAAAAAATTGCCCCCTTTTCGGGAACACATGGGGATTCCGTTTCATTATTCTGCCCCAAACAAAATTCAATAAAGAGAAGACCCTCCAATGAAAGTTTCAGCTTGAGTCCAGGCTCGTTGGGGCAAAATAGCGTTGCAAAGATTGCATTTTTAACTATGAAAAATGCTAGTATTTTGAAGCTGTTCCGTTAAAAAAAAACTACCAAAATCTATATTTCTTCTATTTTCAGATGCAACATTCATCATTTAATGTTATTCGGAGATTAAGACTCATGTTGACACAACGATCTTGCGATCAGTCGTGAAACAACGTTCCAAAATTTATATGAGGTGTCCTAGACCATACCCATGCCAGCCTTGGCTGAAGCCAAAGCATAAGCTTGCCGCAGCGGAAAAACGCCGTTTTAAGATCCAGACGTTGCCAAATTTCCTCGGATCAAACATTAATTTTGAGGAAAGTTAAGATACGTGTATTTCCTTGATATTTTTTTCAGGAGGACTATTCAATTCAATTCATGAGCAGAAGATTCTCTGATAATTTAAAAAATTAGAGCTTATCAGTTTTCGGGGAATTTTCATTAATCGGAGGACATTTGGCAACGTTCATGTGTTCAGACGACGTTTTTACCAGTGGCGTGGCGTGCTTTGCGATATATCGATTGATTTGCCATTTAAATCTATGGTAAAGGATCGATAAATAGGGGGTTTGCTACGAACACCTTGATGATCGATTCTTTATCACAGCTTCAAATGGGGAAATATCGATTATCGATCATTCACGCCTCGCCACTGGTTTTTAATCAACGTTCCAGTATTGATATACGAGCAGAGGACAATAATTTCGGTAGTAACGCCTTGATGCAACTATTCGTACTCTATGGACATCCGTGTTGCATGCTACAAATTGAAGGCGCTTGGGTCATTCTGGCCCTCGAATCAGTGCTCGCAGCGACACGCTGCGCTGTCACGACTCGGTGTGACGGTGAGATATAATGGCCTGATATGTGAAAATGGTGGGAACATATCCATTCTTGTTCCATCCCCTCAGTTTTTATCCGAGAATTCGAAGGGCTTGGAGGACAAGGTGCATAAGTGCAGTTTTTACTATGCAGAGAAATACACGTTTGAAGTTTCGAATTCACACGAATACTTACGGCGGAAAGAAAGTTCAAACTGACTTTTTGAAGCTTAAAAATTGGAATTTGGAAGCAACTTTTTCACAGAGTATGCATAAAGGCTTGTTTTACTGGAAATCATTAATAGAGTAAGGTTAATACAAGGTACCCGAGGTCGCCCGTTTGAGGCTTTTACCTCGGTTATTTTCGGTCGGATGATGTTTGGGACGGAGAAGTTTTATCAGGAATGGACCCCAGAGGAATTTGACTTTCCTTGTTTTGAAGTCCCTCAGCCCTCCTTGGTGTCCATGCCATAGACTGAAAAAAAATTCTCCGCGTTTTTACCAAGGTCCGTTGGTACCTTTACCATCTCACCATTTTTACCAATTATTGGTAATTTTACCAAGACAGACTGGTAAGCTTACCTAAAAACCGGTATTTTTACTGTTTTTTTCAGGTAAGAATACCACTGTTATTGGTAATCAATTCCCGGTAACTTCGCCATTTTATCTCGGTAATTCTACCACAGTCGATAAAAAATATCGGCGTTTTTACCAAGGTCCAGTCAAATTACCGAGAAAGTTCAATAATTTTTACCAAGATTCCTCGGTAAAATTACCAATTCCATAAATGTTAATTTTACCAAGAAAAAACTGGGATCAAATAGAACCCTGAATTCTTGGTAATTTTACCCTTTTCTTAGTAAATACTCCGAGATTTTTTTTTTTTTCAGTGTATTCAACGCCCTTATCCGAGACACCACTCGACTGACCAAAAAAACCAAAAAACCAAAAAAATAGCCGGGCATCGGTGGACGCTGTATCAGGACTGATCCTGATGGCTATGTTTGCTGTGTATAATTTGATACGCTTCATCACGACTGATTGCTGAATTGTAGTATCAACAACAGTAATGTCAGCTGATGAAATTGTGCCCCACCGTTCTTTTCATCGAGAAACTTCAAAATATTAGCATTTCCAATGGTGAAAAATGTAAACTTTGCAACGCAATATTGCCAGAATAAGCTTTAAGCTCAAGATAAAACTTTAACTGGAGGGTTGTTTCATCATTGAATTTTGTTTGGGAAAGATTTAAACAAAATCTCCACGCCTCTAAAGAGGGACAAAAGTAGGCCTTTTATCCGGCAGGCTCTTTACGGGGATGAGGGTGGGCTGAGGAGGGCGTTAACTAAGAGGGTTGAACAATGGGAAGAATTTCATGACGTGAATTTTTTTAGAGAAGATTCTCGCTGTGGAGGGACAGGGGTAAGAGCCTTGGAAGGGATTGTTTTTTAAACTTACCGGTTTTAGATGAGGTAGATAAAGCAGATGTGGTATTTCGAGGATGACTGTTACTGCTGTTGTCTATTGAGCTAGATTCTGGTTTTTCATTGGCCCGCCCGTCAACGGGAGTAGCACCGGCTGGAACAAAAAAAAACGAATATTGGGTCATTTTTTTTGTATACACTACAAATAGTTAAGAGCAAATAATTATAAGTATATCAAGGCAAGGTATATATAAAATACCAGTGAACTGTCATATTTTCCTGCTTAATGTTATAAGAGAGGAAGAGAGAAAGAAAGTCACACCGGCGATGACAGCCCCCACTAAATAATCGAAAGCAATGACAATATCGCCTGCAACAGGATAGATATGCATTAAACGCTACACATGAACTGCTTCATGAACTGCTAGAGAGCGGCGCTCTCTAAATTGAACGCAGTTTTCATTTGTGGGCAAATGCCGTTCCCCCGCGAAAACTTTCTCGCGGAATCAAGATCTAATCTCATCAATTTTGAAACCACCCGACATTAAAAACATTAAAATGGACTTTTATTTTAAGGTAAGTCATCAGCTTTGCCGTAAGACATTCTGGACACGGTAAAGATATATTTTAAAATTTGATCGTTTTCAAAATCTTAAAATAAAGTCAGAGGGACTGCTTACGATTAACCATATCGATATCAATACATTAAAATCGGTTGATAATATTGGAAACAGTACAACTGACTTCATTTTAAGATTTTGGAAGATAAATCTCGGCAAGAAAATTCCTTATTGATCTACATGACAAATACGATTTCGCTTCCGCCAAAACAGACCACGTAATGATTAAAATCTTGAAAACATGGATCAAGCCCAGAATGCATTGCGCCGAAGCTGAAAACCCGCCTGCGGATCTTGAAATTCAAAATCCACCGGGAAAAAAGTGCTGAAAACACACAAGTACAAATGGTACTTCGGGGAAAATGGTCGGAATTTTTCGAGATGCGATACCAAGAGGCGACCTTAAAGCAATCAAACGTTGGAGGGCACCGAGAAAAGAAGGAGAACTAAACTAATCAGTGTCAAACTCCTCCAGGCTGGCACAGACTTTCCTTCGAGTTGGATCCGTTCTCCACGCCAATACAGCTCCTTGAAACGCCCAGAGAACGATATACTTGCGTTTTTCAGACGGCTCACTAACTTCGCCCGAGGGGAGGAAAGAAAGTAAAAACCTACAATAATTGACAGGTGAGACGGGAATGCGATGGTGCTAAAACGTTGCATGCGCAATAATCGGGAGGGATGTCTTGGCTAGGGACGCGATTGACAAGCCTACGGATAACCCGTTGGCGTTGCCATCGCCTTGACAACGCCAGCAACTTGCTATTATCGAACAGTGTACAAATTGCTCAAGAGCCTCGTGAAAAATAAAGAACGCCGATTTGAACCTTACAGTTTCCCTTTTTCAGGGTCGTCACAGGGGTAAATTGTCACCCGCGCTGCGCCAACAGCCAATTCGCCCCCCCCCCCCCNCCCACAGGGCCGGATTTACCTACTAGTCGCCCATGGGTCGCCCATGGGCCGCCTGTATTTTGCCACCCCCTTCTCATTCGTATTGAAACATCAATAAAAACCATCACGTGAACGTGCCAGCGGGGGAGGGGTGCATAAGACGTGTTTACTCGTGTTGAACTCATGTTTTGGGAATGCCCTGTCCACACTACTAGCAAAAGTTAAGTTTCGTAAACCTATCTCTGTGTGGACAAGGCCTTCCATTCATAAGAAATGAACGAAAAAATTATGAAAGAACAAACATGAATGTGGTTTGATTATTTTAACTTCCGCCGCCGCGTCGCGCAGACCGCAGTGTGTTTGGCGCAATGCGTGAAGTATTCACGCAGTCTTGTAGGCGCCATGCGTTTCACGCTGACCGCACTGCGTTTGCCGCAATGAGTGAAATACTCATGCAATCTTGTAGGCACTATCCGTTTCACGCTGACCGCAAGGACCGCACTGTGTTTGATGCCATGCGTGAAGTATTCGTGCAGTCTTGTAGGCGCTAATATGTATGTGTTACATGCCGATCGCCGCGCTGAGGGCCTCTCCTTTGCCGTTCCAGGCCAAATTGCGTGTTTGGTTTCTCTCTTAACTCGACTAATTAAAGGTGCTGTCTCTTGTATCACTGAAAGACGACAAAATTAAAAATTACTCTACTCTCAGGAAATGAGAGATTTCGTCACCTTTTCTCGGTTGTAATTTTTTTTTCTAAATCCGATATTTTTTTATACCTACATATAAAAAAATTGCAAAAATTTGCCGCCTTTTAGATTTGCCGCCATGGGCCGCGGCCCATGTGGCCACCCCCTTAATCTGGCCCTGGCCCCTCACCCTTCCTTTGATCAACTGATGAGTGAAGGCCATTTTCGTACTTAACAAATCCTTCCCTTACGACGTCGCACAGTGGATCGAACCCATGGGAAAGGTTGGACACAATTTGACAACTTTAAACGCTTATAACTCCTTTCCTCTAGAATGTAACTCACTTTTCTTTTTTCAGTCCTGATGTTGTCTTGAATTAAATTCTATTATACGATGATCATTTCATTTTTATCACACGAATCTGGGGCTTTTCTGATGAAAATTTCGCTGATTCTTCCTTGGATCTCATGCAAAAATCGAAAAAAAGTCGAACAAGAGTTGCTCAGGTACTTTCTTGTAAAAATTGAATCGTCCGAGTCAATCTTACAACTTTTGAAAGTAGTTACGTTCACTGGTAAAAAAAAAACCTCTTGGAACAATGCCGCGGTGCATTGACTTAAGAGTGCAGTTTATTGTCGCCGGATTTAAGAGTCTTGAACTCTTGTTTTAAGCGGATTTTGCATTGATTCAAGCGGATTTTGCATTGAAACAAGAGTCCAGACTCTTGAATCCGGCGACAAGAAACTGCACTCTTGAATCAAGAGGTTTTTTT